TTAGTTTTAAGCAAAACAGCATACAAAATTTGTTTAAACGCATTTCGACTTTCGCCAGCTAAGAAACCAAACTGATAGTTATCCCAAGCTTCTATTACTAACATATAAAAATCTTTCAATTCACGATCAAGCTTTTCGGTGACTGTTAGTACTCCTGTATCCGCATCAATTGAAAACTTTCCCTAAGATTTGCAAAACAGTTTTGTAAAAAAATGTTAATATATATTAATCTAAAAAAATCGGTTGTACCTGTGAGCTAATGCGATCCATTAAAAAAGTGATTTTTCCAAAATCTCCAGAATCAGCGTCTGCAGCTTGTACTGTGCCTACTCTTGTACCAATTGCAGCATTCTCGCTTATCGTGTAATTTTTTGAACCACCAATGAAGTATGGATTGTTATCGTTTTCATCTAGTACAGACACAAATACATCTACTAACGTTGATCTAGGTGGTACACCGGAATCGGTTGCACGTACAGAGAAATTTAACCATTGATGTTGTTCATGATCGATTTTATTTGCCACAAGTATTTCACCGGTTTGCGTATCGAGGTGTACTAAGTTTCTATAAATAGGATTGCCTTCCATCGAGTATATGATTGTTTTGTTTTTGTCTATATCATATGCAACTACATTAGCTATTAAAATGCCATTTATGCTATTCTCTGTAATGGATTTACGGTAAAATGGCTGCTTGAATTTGGGATTATTGTCATTTTCATCATCGACTTCAATATTTAAGAAACCTTAAAATGAAAAGAATTTTTTATTTAATTATTTAATTAAAGTACACTATTAATGACACTCTACCTTCTACAACTTGTTTTCCATTAGCAGCTGCCAAGTCTTCAACTAGAATAGCTAATTTAATATGCTCCACTTTTTCACGATCTAATATCTTTACCAACTGCAAAAAATAGAACATTGATCTGACGATATATGACTAAATTATTTAAGTGTAGCTACTAACAAACCTTTAGGTTTCCCTCAATTGGATCTAAGTCAAATACTGAAAGGTAATCATATTCGGTTGTCTTAACAAATGATCCCTCTTCATTTCGAGCTACAGAATTGCTTTTGTTTATTTGGTATCTAATAATGGGAAGCTCATCCAAATCTGTTGCCTTTATTTGATATACTGTTTGCCCCACCGGTGTATTCTCCATTATGTGTACCGTGGGTAGGTCACTTAAAATAGGAGGTTTATTATTCACATCTTTAATTGTAATATTAACCGTGGCTGAGTTCATGAGTTGCGAGTTTCCTATACCACCATCAAGAGCAATCTGTGAATATATGAAGTAGAATTGTTTTATTATACATGTTTTCCTTTTTTTCCTTTCTAGGAATTTGTAGTGTTGTGGAACTACTTCAATATGTTTAAATTTTATAGGTCATAGCGTTTGATACTCTGTTTTGGAAAAGCATTTGATGTTAAAAAAAACAATTGCAGTACACTAGATTCCAAACAAATAGCCTTCAGAATTATATAAATTCTTTAATGTAGCTACTTCGTTATAGTTAAGTTCTCTAGGTCGTGGCGTCTTTTTGCTTTATTACTGAGAACAGTTCAAAGATTCTAAATTCCAATGAAAAAAGATAAAGGATTTGAAAGTAAATAAATAACTCGAACTTTTTAAGTAGAGTACTCACCTATTGGTTAACTGTTAACCCTTCAGAATTTTCAATGGAATCAATAGATAAAATCAGATTAGTTAGAGTGCTTTAGATTATCTTTAACTATTTCATACTCATAAATCTTGATTTTACAAATATTAAAGACAAACACTTTTTATAGATCAATCAGCGGATAAAGCTTACATAATGCTGATAAAATCTATCTATGTCCCATCATTTATTTCCAATTCTCACCACTTATTCCCATTTATATTACAACGATAAAATTTTATAATTGCTACTTATACAGTAATAATGAACCTTTTAGCATCACATGTTTACATAAACGTTTACATTTAATATAATATTATATCATATAAATTAATATATAATACGAGTAATAGTATATTTACCACTGTCAACATATAATTTGTTCTCTTATTATCTGTCAGATCTGGATCCAAATTGGCACCTGGAGCAACTGATATTATTCCGGTTTCTGAATTAATTATAAATTTATCACTTGCGCCCGCTTGAATGCGGTACACAATGACATTGTTTGGTGCGGAACCATCTCGATCGATTGCTTGCACTTGCAATACAGAACTACTACCAGGCAGATCTTCTGGTATTGTTTTAGCATAAAAATTCTTTTGAAAAATTGGTGGATTGTCATTAATATCCTGCACATAGATGAGCACTGGTACAACTGTTGATAACATCGGTATACCAGAATCACGTGCACGTACCAAAAGATCTATTTCTCGCATCCCAACAGCAAAATCCATTCTACGGATTTGACGCTTATTTTCAACAAGTTCTTCATAGTCGAAAGGTTGTAGTGGTTTTAATATACCATTTTCAGCATTTATAGAAAAATTTGTTCTATAAAGTCCCTCAACTATTTCATAAGTGATTTGACTATTTTCAGTCCCATTTAAATCAATGTCACGTGCTTCTAACATAAGTGGGGTTTCAAATTCAAATTTGTTCTCCAGTAATTTGGCTTCATAGCTCCTTTGCAAAAATATAGGCGCATTATCATTAACATCATCTATGTTAATTATAATTTGTGCGGTGTTCCGATTTCCCAAACCGACATTATCAATAGCTTCTACGGTTAAGTAGTGTCGTGATATAATTTCACGATCAAATGCTTCACCACCAGCTTGCTTTATAGATATAGTGCCAGAAATTGGATCTAATTGCAATCTGCAAAAAAGGGAAAATTTGATATTATGTATATAATAGTTAGCAATTACTTACAAATGGGCAATACCGCCTTTAAGATTACGGTAACGTATTCCCATAGTTCCAAAATCTCCGGAATCTTCATCAATTGCTTCGATTTTCGTTATAATAGTGCCAATATCACTATTTTCCGGTACATTGGCGTTATATAGTGGTTGTTTAAATTGAGGAAAATTATCATTTTGGTCACGTATGTAAATTTCGACATGTGCGGAACTGTAAATTTGAAAAAAATATATTCGCGATTTTATTTAGTACTTGTATATATTGATAGATAATGAAATGGTTGGTTAAAAATTAATATTGAAAAATTTTTTTATATATAATATTAAATGTTTAGGTCTTTAGATTACAGATTCTCAGTGCAAAAAGTCTACGGCTGGTGGCAGTGCTATAGTGCCAGAAACATTCCCTGTGTACGCTATATATGTTTTATCTGCTTTTACTCTCTGACTTTGGTTTGGGCCACGAAGGAGATTCTGGAGTAGAAGCTTCTACCTCTGTCTAATATTAAGAATAGCACTTGTTTTGAATTTCTGAATTTTATGCAAAGCCCTTGTGCTTGTGCTACTTAAGGTTTGTTATGGTATCAAGTCCCAGTGCTCTATACTACAGGGAGTCGTTTTCTTTATGAATAACTTGTCCTAAATGTTATAATACATTGATGATCTAAATATGAACCAAAAAAGTTTGCAAACATTAATTCCTTCATTAAATCCTTCTTTCAAACATTTCTTCTTAATGTCTGTATTTATCCTATAACGACTTCTGTCGCGGCTGTAACTCTGAGGATGAGGAGGAGATTGTGCTCTATTTCATATGTCAGTGCCCTTCTTTAGGGACTTAGCCAAATTCAAAAAACTGTAGGTTGGTTTATCCCTACCTAATGTGGGAGTTGTTGCCTTTTTTGCGCTGGTCGTATACTGATCTTTTAGTCTACGTACGAACCATTGCTATTCCTGTGGTATCACAATAGGTCATTATTTGAGTTCAAATGGGCTTTCTTGGATACAACCTTCCTATCTATCTGTATTCATCTTCAAAAACTAATTTGAAAATATTTTATTTAAAACTATAAAGCAATTATAAGTTCTATTAACACTTTTTTAAAATAGTTTTTGATCCATCCAGACCGCACAATAAGATCTAATTTATCTTATGACAAAATGGACGCAGTGTGTACGGGTCTAAATGCCATTGAAATTTGAATAAGCAATAGAATTAAGAGTACAATTTTAGTATATCTTAATATCTAAATTAAGAAGAGTAAATTACCTCCATCTGCTAGTCTCCTCTATTTCCCTCGCAAATATAGTAAAGTTTATTTCTTTCATTCGCTCGTAATCTATGGCTTCAGAGTTTTTCACACGTATAATAAAATTCGCCTCATTGACAGCTAAGGCTGGCACAATTTCGAAAATATCATTTTGAGGATCTAAGAACAGACGAAAAGTACCATTTTTCCCTACATCGCCATCATATACAAAATTTTGTACATTTTCATCCATATAAGTCAAAGGCGTATTAACCTGAGCATTTTCATTGACTTCGCAACGATAAATGCTTTGGCTAAACGTTGGTATCTCATCGTTAACATCTGTAATTATGATTGTGACTTCCGTTTGTGCTGTCGTATTGTCCACTGCATTTGTAGTTGACTAGAAAATTATAATATTTTTTCAGTAATTTTTTTAAATTAGTACTTTGGTCTTAGTCACTTATTTTCTATATGTTATGCTTACTTTAGATATTTCCGTGGCTTTTATCTGCAATATGTGTGCGCCATTGACTTGATTAGTCGTATCCTCACGATCTAATTCACTTATAGTGTAAACTATGCCTGTGCTAGGTTCTATATCAAATAACTCGTTCTCTTCAATTTCATATTGTATTGGATTATTGATACCGCGATCTCCATCAATAGCACGCACACGTAAAACCTTTGTACGTATGGGTGCATCTTCTGCAATTCTTGCGACAGCTTGCACTTCCACAAATTCTGGCGGTTGATCTTCTATATCGGTTACTTTGACTAGTATAGCGGCAGTGCCAGTGTTCACTGGTCCCTGATTAGCACGATCTATGGCTAAGACACGTAATTGATATAAGCTTTTATTTTCATAATCTAAATCGCCAATAAGCTTAAGTATGCCTTTCCCTTGATAAGTTGTTATAGAAAATATATCATTATCGCCTTCTAGTTCTTGCAAATAGTAAACAACTTGTCCGTATGCACCCTCATCTGCATCGGTAGCTTCTAGTGACATAAGCACTGTTGGTGAACTATTCTCTGGCACTTCAATAGCACTATGATAAGGTAAAAATATTGGTGCATTATCATTTATATCTTCTACCAAGAGTAGAAAACTCTGTGTAACATAATTAAAATCGTTGTAATGATTATCACTGAGTGTTAAAATTATTGAGTATTCATCTTGTGTCTAAAATAGTAATTAATATATTTTTATGGTATAAGTTTTAGGGGTGAAGAGTTTAAATACTTCTCTATCAAGTTCTTTAGCTAAATAAACGTTAGCTTCGTTACTGTTAGTGTTTTCAATGCGTATAACATCACTGTCGGGTGTTGGACGTTTGCCAAATGTTAGAGGATCATTATCTGGATCAAAACCTTTAAGTTTATAAATAAGTGTACCTATAAAATACAATGAAAATCTATTAAATAAATTTTATTATTTAATACTTGAACTTTATGTGAAGAAGTGCTATTAAAAGGGAGTGGGATTTATGGAAATACTTTTAAGGAATATAAAAATACAAATGACAATATTAAAGGATATATTAAGGTAGTCTAAATAGGTATGATTTATGATTTTACTTTTAATAAACTTACCAACTTGGGTTTCAGGACTTTCCTTTAGCCTTAACACAATCTCTGCCTGTCCGTCTGTAGCAAATCTTGGTGGACGGTTGCATACTACCGATTTTGATATTATTAACATTAAAATTATTCTAATGATAGATAAATTTATTCGTAAGGAAGACATTTTTAAACGCACTTTTTCTGGCGTCAAATTTTGTTTGTTTCTAGTGATTTTTACTAGTTTTAATTTCTTAGAGTTGAGTGCCATTTTAGAATTATTCGTTGTACTATCGAATTAGTTACTGTGGCGTTGAGAATATATGTATACTTCTCACATTCTGAATAGGTGTCTACAAGTGATTATGCGATCTAAAAGTAAGTCACAAAAACAGGAATTATTTAAAATGTGTTAATTAACTTAACTCATAAATTACTTAAAAAATTAAATCTTACATTTTTGTTACACGAATGGGAAAATATGTGAACTTGCACAACAGTACCTAAAATAGAGCAACCCATTTACACGTACGCTAGTCTTAACCTTTGTCCGTAACAGTATTTCAGTATAACACTAAATGTGTCCAAAATGCAATAAAAAATTATTTAAAATAATGGATGGCTTTATCATGTTTATATGAACTTTGTGACCTTTAAATATGAAACGCTTGAGAAAGTTTACAAAAAAAATTCTCTAAGCCATTTATACTTACTAATTTAAATACAAATGAACGTGTTTATGTAATATTCAGCGTATACCGTTTTACTCTAATAACTATAAACCACAAATAGTAGAATCCATTCTTTATGGATTCAAGATCCCTGCTGCATTAACTACGGAAGTTATTAATAATATGTAAACAATATAAGGAAGCCATGACTGAATGTTAAATTCATAACAGATATATTCTTAATTAGTTAATTAATTACTTAATTAATATAATAAATTATATTGTAAATACCTTCTAGTTTGATACCTTATGCGAAATATAAACTTTGTGGAGTGGGATTTTCGAAATATGATAAATCCCTTCAAAAATTTAGTCATTTTAAATATAAAAATATAAAAAAATATAGTTGCCGTTGGAAGGAAAAAGATTTATGGACTAAAAAGCTATATTAAAAGATTTTACCATACATTTCTGAATGATTAACACTCTAGATGTCCTCACTACAAAGATATAATTTTTAAATAACCTTAAATTTGAAGCAAGACAATAGATATTTTATCAACATAAATAATTTCAGGACTGCAGACCTATGAACGGGTGGAATACTTCCTTAAGAGAAAAGTAAGTAATCATTAGCAACATATGACTTTCGAAAAATTATCAGGATAGAAGCCAGGATACCATTTGCTATAAGGTTATATAGTAATTGACACAATTTTTCTTGGACTAGGATTTTTTTCCAAAATCCCAGTTCAATTTCATCTAGTACAAATTCATTCCTAATAAGATGGTATAAATCTCAGAAAAAAGTGATTGTTTATAGTTTAGTACTTTAAGGTTGCTTTAGAGCTCGTTGTGTCTGCGAAACGTATTATTAAGATTATTACGTTCAGATTTGACGTGACCATGACTGTCTGCATAACATGACGCTTATTATAATAAGAGATGTCCTCTGGCTGTCTTTATTAAGATCAATTATCAAATGAGCATGTTTATCAAATCAGAATTTTGACAATTTTCATAATGAGGTTAAAAATTTCTCCCTCTAACTTCATTCTACAGTTGAGGTCTTTGCTTTTCAAAACGTAAAGATAATAAATAACCTTATCTAACTATAATTTGGTTACTTACCATCCCTCTTTACTAGCCTCAACCTTCTATTCTGTCTTTTTTGCACATGCTCTCCAGTTTAAATAAACTTAATTTAATATCAGCCCTATTGACCTTTTCATCTACTATTGATTACTGGAATAACAGTTCAGCTTTTGGTTTCTCACGTACCGTTGACTGCAATTTTTTCATGTTATTCTTGAGAAGTGGTTTTAGTAAGCTAAAGTTTTGTATGAAGATTTAGGATACGTTCCAACTACTCATCATATGGGCAAAACTTTATTGATTATTTCAGTGGAATGTTTGTTCTCTGTTCTCTGTATGTTGGTAAATTCTTTCTTAATCCAATCCCAACTCTCCTTCCTGCAGGACTGTGCACCATAAAACATGGTGTATAATATGATATGATATATATTTTTCTGTTAACTAAGTTACCAGATTTTTTTTTAATGAAAAAAATATTTTTTTTCAATATATCCATGTCAAATCGATGTTATAAATCTTGCTGTGCATTTAAATTTTATAAAATCTAGTATATCTTATAGATCGTTTACATTTTTGTCTTAAACTTGTGTAAAGATTTAAGAAACATTTAAAGAATAGAATAATTTTATGGAAGTTAATGTACTCCAGTCGTATATTTAGACATATGGAAAATTTGTTAATAACGAACATTATCACTATTGAAATACTTCAGGTAAGTGATATTTCATCAAAATCTTTTTAGTTACTCGCATTTTTTTTTAAATCGGTACGTTACATTTTTATTGAAATTAATAAATTATTTTTTTGGTTTATGAGTCCAAAATATTTTGCAATACCATTAAGAATCAGTTACCGGCAAGTTTTCTACAATTTTATTTTTTTAATGTCGAATTATTTCTATTATTTTTTCTGAATTCTAATTTCAGTACCGTGCTTAGAGTTACATCATTATAAATATTGGTCTGAGCATTGTTTTTTTTTTCATGTACAAAAAGAGTTTAGATAGACGGTAATAAATCGATTTTAACGACAATGGCTAATGATGGATCTACTGCTATGCCATTTAATATTTTCAATTCCCTATTAATCTTCGTTTAAAAATTTTTTGGATTAATAAATCTGTTTTAGCAACTATCTATTTTTTTAGCAACTATCTATTTTAGAATTAAGATATTGGCAAACACTGGTACGGTAACTATCCGTCGTTCAAGTGTATTTGATTTTTTTAATAATAAAAACAGGACTGTTATATCTAACATAATAATACTTATAGCTTCATACTTTATACTCTAATGAATGTTTTGATGGATATTTCATGGGCTTTTCGTTAAGTAAATCTGGATATATGAATAAATGCATATGTCGACTCAAATTATACTTTATCTGTCAAATCATATGAATCAGCTGTTAATTTTTTTGATGATATTGATAATCATTGATAATCATGATAATCTTGGTACTCTGGCAAAATATCTAGAGTGTTTTTTTGTTCGTGCTGAGAAAGATTTGGCGTTTTAGATTTCGATGCAAATTTTATTGTCTAATCAAACATTTTTAGAGTAATCTAAAATTTTTTTAGTTGTGTTAGTAAATATTTATATTTTTAATAAAAACATATATCGAATCAAATCCCAATTTATAAATCTCGATTAAAAAAGTTACCCCAGATTAATTAATAGAAAACGCTAAAAGATATCAATCAAAACTTTGGATAGCGATATATTAGATTGGAGTGCTTTTATTTGCGGTGAGAAAGATTGATTTATAGGTTTTACAAAATTTTAATTTAAATTTTCTTGTTTGTATTGAAATTTTGGTAATGTGGTATCGTTAAAATCAGTTTAAAAGCTATTAACACATTATGAGCTCAGAGGACACGTGGCTGCTAGGAATATTGGTTAAAATATAGATGGACGGAATTTTTTCTATCTCACTTTCCGATCTTTGAGACGTAGTCATATATTTGATACACATTATTTTTCATTTCTGTCAATCAAAATTACTTATTTTAAACGGGTACTAATACCTGTCCTGCTTATAAGTGACAATCCTCGCAACGGGTACAAATACCTGCCAGCACATAATGTGTTAAAAGGCTATAACTATAATTTTTTCGAAGAATTCATAGGATCGCACGTAGGAATACTACAGTATTGTGACATTTAAATGATGTGAATACAATGATGTTGTGATATCTCATAACAATATTGATGAGAAATAAAATATATATATTATTTCCATTACTTTTATACTAAAAATTAATTTCAAAATTATTTATGGATACCAGAAAAATGCTTTAAATGATTCTTTAAGATACTTAAATTAATACAATTAATAAAATTAAATTTATTTTGGAATTTCATTAAAATTTTCATTGTTCAATAACTTAATTAAATTAATCTATGCGTGAGAGACCACAAAATCAAGGCACTAGAGCCAACGCGGTTATGTTACAATTTCACATGAGTGTATCTATAATACCAGTTTAATTCATTATTCAGTTTAATTCAAAAAGTGTATGATTTTGTGACATATATCACGTTTTCGTGGTCATTTCCAAAAACATTGCAACATTTCTTTCGTATTACAACTTTTGTGCTTAATTTCGTGCGGCATTTACTTCTTACAAACTCGCGTTCGAAAGAAATGTGTTTAATTGCCGGAACCTGTGTCAAGCATGTAGTGTTAACGCAACATGACACATATTCTTATGAGTACCTCTCTGGATTACAAATAGTACAAAAGACAATTTTAACAATACTTTTAGGTAAATTTTGTTTACTTTAATTTGTAAGAGTGCACGACTTAATTCCATGACCGACCGTATTATTTATGCTCATTGTGCCATCATGAACTCAGAATAAAGCATTTGAAGTGGTTAATGAGTTATAAATACTTTAAATGAAGCTAAGAATTTGAAATATTTGTAGATTATTGACTGATCTATGTATCATCTTCTGCAGGTAAAATATTCATAAATCTGAAAAAACGATAACTAAATAGTAACTATAAGTCTCGATGTAGAGCTGAATGCAAATAATCAGAGTTTTCAGCACAGATAATTGCTGAAGCGTTTATCCTATGTTCAGATGTCTAATATAGGTCTCTCTATGATATATGATAGGCGGTTGCACCGCCAATACGAGCAACAACGATGCCAGCGTGAAGATCAAACGCAGAATTACCATAACTAATATATTATGAGCTCAGTAGGTAATTAAGATGTAGAATTTCCTCTTGACAAACAAAACTTACGCTCTATAGATCCCTCATTCTACTTGTGCAGAAGAAGTAACATTACTACAGAGTAATGAAGCAGCACTAGGAGTTTTCGAGAGAAAGGGTCTTCGTAAAATTTTTGACCCTTCGAATGAACCACAAGCTGTATTAACACTCAGCCCATAAGTTAAATTTTTTTAATAAATGTAATACTATTTCTATATGGTTATAAAGTCTCATCAGTCCAAAGCAGATTATCAGATAAGACAGCTTATATTGACTTATAACAGTTATAATTGATAGAGAGTATAGTTTTACGAAAATTAAATTATTATTGGTAGATTATTATGATTTCCGAAATATATAGCAGCTGAACAGCTATACTGACATTTGGCTTAGATGAATGTTAGAGTAAGAAAGTAGCGACATAAATTGTTGTCTTATACAAATTTTTGTTTTCAACATAGATATTTTTGTAATTATCTCTAATAATTATAGATAATGTAGTAATATAGTAACAGTCAGATATCCAACTGCAGAGCTTTCCATTTATAAGTGCAGTCTATGGTTAGACCTTAATATATGTAAATTCACAACTTCAATATGCATGACATGTAGACTCATCTGACATAAAGCAGAAAGAGATCTAGTACATATTAAGGATATAAATATGGATATGAGTATGTATGCATAGAAATTAACTATCGAAATTTGAATACAGGTCAACATGGATATACGCGATATATGCACACTATATTGACATAGTACTTATATAGTACTATGTACTATATATTATGGATAAAAGCATTGATGAGCATGTACAGGTACTCACTTGTCAAATTTGAATTCAGATCTACAACTTTAAAAAACATATGGACTCTATCTTGCTATCTTGCACTGAAAGGAATAGTATATGTTACAGATGAAACGTAGATGGGTATGAGTTTTATGGAGTCATATATGTCTTTATTGTGACAATTGATGAATAAAGCCCACTGAACTAGGTTAGGCTAGGTTATACCGGTGATCCTAGGGCGATCCATTCAGGCCTATAGGTCCATTGTGCTACTGTATTATTAAAAACCCAAGGGTTGAAAATATCTAGAACCGTTGGCAAAGTTTATGATGCCATTTAAAAGGAAGTCCTGAAGTTCGACAAAATCCGCAAAAACGAAAGCCCCTAAAACGTTGAGGCTGCACCGTGCATGTGCCAGACAAAGCAAAGCAGGTGAGAGGCGTTTTCATCATCCTCACTACAACTGCGGCAGATACGGTTGATGGGGAGATTTAGTCTTCTAGCATGGTTACCTAGAATACAGTGGCCTATAAGTAAACCTACTGCAAGACTGATATCTCAACGGGGCATCTCTATAAGAGAGAGCAACTTGACTATCCGATAGTATATATATATTCCTTTCAAGTATATTATCTACTTCTAGACAAGCTAGAGCTTTCTTTATGGTAATCACTTCTGCCTGAAAAACACTACAGTGATCTGGAAGCTTATAATAAAAGGATATATTCAGCTCTTCTGAGAAAACTCAACTTCCTGCGCCATCTTCAATTTTCGAACTATCGGTAAAAATTTCTAGATCTTCACCCCCTGATAGCCAAACCTCTCTGGTTGGGAATTTAACAATGACTTTCCTAAAAAAATCGAGAATTTGAGGAATGTAGTCGATGTTATTTAGAGTAGGACTGAAAAGTTTTAGAATATGGCGCTGCCCGTGGTCACTAGCCCTCCATTGTGATGTAGCATTAAGTCATAGGGCAGATGATGCTGCCAAATGTTTACTAATGATGTCAAGTGACATTGAGTGAAACATTAGTTGTAATGCTATAGATGGTGTTGTACACAGAGCACCACTTAAGTACAGTACAGTACGAAAATTTATCAAGGGCACTGAACTTTTCAGTGAACTAAAAAGAGATTATTTAAATACATATTTTCTTAACATTAAGAATATTGTTTATGTTTATTGTTTATTTATTGTTTAGTTTTCTTTAATTTATTGTGTTTTTAATGCAATTAGTTAATGGTTATTTAAACTACTATTCTTTTTTTTTTTAAATTTTGTAGTTTTTAGCTGGCACTTTGAATACTGTTTATTTTTATGTAGTGTTTTTGATTAGTTAGTGTGGGCATGCGTGACTGATGAGCAAGGGTTTACTAAGTAATTGATATGAATTTAATTTATTAGACAAATAAATATACAGTGTGAAATTTTCATTACGTTGAATTATTTTAGTAAATGAAGTTTGAGGATTTGTTATAAGAAGTGCAGGAAATAGCGTCATAATACGTATGATTTGTATATACATAAATTTATACAGAAAAATTTAACACATTATAATTCAAATAGCATATAAGCATCAATGAATAATAATAAAAAACTAAGAAATATATAACACAACAGAAATATGAAATATATTTCATTCAATAACTTCAGACATTTTTCCCAGAATAATTAAGAATTGCAAATCATATATAATATGTAAGTGAAGAAGTGAAGAAGCTAATAACATATATGAGAAATCATTCGTTACACTTTTCAATGCTTAAAGTTGCTCTCTGATAAGTTATGACATCCAACTACAAACATATAAAAAGATACTTTATGAAGATACTTTATGTGGTGTACATTCATTAAAAAGATACTTCATGAAGTATGTAGTGTACATTTAGTGTAGTTCATTGTGCAAATAATGGCAATGTTAGTTAGATACAAAATAAAGAAATGAATTATTTCGAAGTAGACTTTTAATTTACTGACTATAATATTCGTACAATGCAATGCAAAACTTTTGATAATTAATTTTTAATTTGGTTTAATTTGAATTGTCGATGAAATATTGAAATTTAAATGCTTTTTCTTTATGATTTCTTACGGTATTCAAATAAATTTAAAATTCATTAATGCACATTTACATTGCTCATTTAAGATACTTAAGATACTTACATAGGTATATTGTGCAAAAGTTTATTAAAAGCAATTTTCCAAGTATTTATATATTTAAATGGAAATAAAATTATACAATTGTGCGAAAATTTATTCTGGAGTGAGTTAATTATTAAACTTCATTAAAAGTCCTTGTACGTCAATTAACACACGATTCATTTCAAACAGACCTTGAGCAATTTCAATCCTCTTTAAACAATTATTTTTTCCACATATTTTAGTTTTCCACAGGATGTTTTCTCAAATTTCTTAGGTGGCACAATCCATTGTTATTAAGAATATCCCACAAATTTTTGGTAGGAAATTTTAGGGCCTTACAAAACCCTATATTAATTTTTTTTCAGTGTGGTCATCTTAACAAAGATCTCAACTTGTTAAGGTTTGTAGTAGACTCAATAACTATGATATATATAGGTAATATTATAAAGTTAGTGATTGTATACCATTGTGATTGATAGTTTTTTGAGGGTTTTTTTGCTTTAAATATTTTTTTTTATTGTATTCTTACCTTATAACCTCCTGACAATTTAAAAATTTTGAGAAGGACTTATAAGTTCCTTTTCTTATTAGTTATATCATATATATATATAAATGAATCCAAAAAAGTGTTGTTAAGCGCATAACTCAACAACGCCTGGACCAATTTGGTCAATTCTTTTTCTAAAATGTTCGTTGAAGTCCAAGGATGGTTTTCACAGCGAGAAAAAATCGAATTATTGCTAATTCCAGATTGGTCCAGGCGTTGTTGAGTTATGCGCTTACCAACACATTTTTCGATTCATTTTTACATATAAGAAGACAAGAACATAACCAGAATAGATGAGTTTGTGTGTTGTAATAAGTTGTTGATTATTGTAGGTATGTTTATTCAATCCCCATGACTTCCTTTGCAGATTATTGTCTCCACTATCCAAGCGAGCCACCCACTTTTTATATATGTCACCTTTAGGTTTTCACTGTCCCTTTAGATTATTTTCCAATCAGGTTTGAACCCTAAGTTCGCTGCTTAGTTTGAAACCCTCTGGCAGACATCCCAGTCGGGCTTTTTTAGTGAATCCCAGAAG